AAAAAAACTGCTTTCTAAATTCAATTGTTGTTCATTCATTTTCCTATAACAGAGATAAAATCCAGAGATTGAATTCATTGCATTTTTTGAGCAAAGAAACTAAAAAATAACAACAAAAAGCAGCCTTTTAAACTGTGAAATCCTTATTTTCTTGTTTGCATCTACTTCCAGAATCAATAGCAAAGGAAAACGCACACAAAATACCCTAAAATAAATGTTTTTTTGCTTATTATTGCAAATATATAACTTATATCTAGTAAAAAAAAAAAAAAAAATCCATTTCATTGCCTCATATTTAGAAAGTTTCAAGTCAGATTTAAAATCACCAATGTATAATAAAATCTCAATAATTTTCATTTTCAAGTGAAAAAGTTTGGAAGAAAAGTATTTTAATGGAAATGCCAGGGTGAGAACTGTAACAACCCCAATCCAAACCACCTCAATCTTCGTTTGAGTGATCCAGGAACCACCTGCTGTGAAGAAGATCACAGCATCTATTTATATACTGCTTCATTAAAACATCTGAGGTGGGAGGTTTTACAGCTTCCATATTCATCTTTGGACATTTATACAGCCTTAATTTTCCTGATGCTCACACAAATAGATTTTACTCTGAATTAGATAAGCTATGTTTGACAGTCAGCTGTTGCAATTTAGAGGAGGAAGATGGTCAAGATCCAGATTTATCACCTGCCAAGAGCCGCAGCCAACAAGCTGGGGTACACCCTGAAAATAATACGGTGCGTGCAGGGCATTGTTGAAGACTGAATAATCTCTCCAGCAGCCATGCTTACTACAACCCATGTCCAGCAGAATCTAATTTGTTGTGCATTGATTTAATTAATTGTGGGAGACATGACAGATTACATCACCCCTGTAGTAGATCATATTAACTCTCATTGAATACTGGGGGAAACTGAGGGATCAAGCAATTTAGATCATAAAATGGAATGAAATCTTGCAAATTACAGTTTACAAAGACAACAATGACACAAACTGACTTAATGTGCGGATTTAACTGTGGCAATGCACATATGCATTTATCAATGAAAGCACTAATGTGGCTGATTACTTTAGAAAGACATATGCAGCTTTGCAGAGATGGAGAGAGAAAGAAATAGGAGGGCAGGAGTGACAGAGAGGAGAAAATGAAGAAAAAGGGAGGAGGGATTTTGCTTACCCCTGCGAGCCTGTTTTATCTTGGGGCTCAGCATGGTTACCGTTGCTGTGCTGCTCCCTCTCACAGAGACATGACTGCATCCCTCTCTTCACACACTAACCCTCATATGCAAACCCACTTAGCGCCTCTTGCAGCAGCCTCACCCTGTTACACCTCATCCTCTCCGAGCATCTCACTATGATTTTATGCTGGTACATGCACACAGTCAAGCATACACACACTAACAGGCACTTAAGCATGCGCTATCCTCCTCCTCGTCTCCCCTTGTTCCTCTCACTCCTGGTCTCTGTCATACTGCCCTGATGTGCTGTTGTTCGCTCATACCTAAAGCCCAACCCACTCCCTCTCTTTTCCCTCCCTATCTTTTTCTCCGCCTTTTGCAGCACAGTTATATATCAGTTTCTCACCTCCTATAAATATGTCCATCTGTGTGTCCTATATCTGGTTACCTATTGCTTAATGTAACTTCTTTCTATCCTCTACCACCTAAGGAGCCCATGGCATTTAGTCTGATGTTTGCCTGAAGCAGAAAAACCTCAGATCAATACATCTGTATTATTGGACATGTTCTCAATACCAAATGTTGCAGAGGCGGTAGACATGACATTACAGCGACCACTTCATTTTCCTATTCTTATACTATGCAGGTTATACTGTGAATTTTTTTTCCAATAAATAAACTATTAAATTTCACATCCCCAACAGCTCAAACCCACAACAGTTTTTGAAATGGCCATTTTTCCAACCAAAGTTGCTTGCATTATGTAGGTCATATCAAAACACAACTACAGGGAGCCTTTAATGCAAATTAAAAGGCAATGCACCTTCTACAGAAGCTAAAATAGCACCCAGTATTTCAGGAAAGAAATCCCAAACATTCATCTTCCTGGACATGTTCTTTAGCTCACTGGTATCCCACAGTGTCTCCAGGGAAGAAAGGATATGAAAATATCCCACAGCTGAGTCCACCAAGTTATAATTCATAAAAACAAGCAATGTTTCACAAAGTGAACATTTTGGCAAAGCTAGTCGCTACTTTGTTTATACATGATACAAGCTGTACCATAAATATCTGCTTGTGAATTTGTTCCTTTTGTGTGGCCCAGTAAAAAGAGTAGTTGTCTTACAATCTGAAATTTAAATTCCAGGACCGGCATGTCAGTGTGCCTCTTTGGTAAGACACTAAACACTGTTGCATAGCGATCTGCAGGTGTATGAATTATGCATTCGCAAGAGCGTGACTGGTTGAATGAGGCTGATATATGTAGGAGTTTAAATGATCATCAGGGCTAAAAAACCTATACATTAATATAGATATATATTAAGCTATATATATTAAGCTAGAGAAATGTAGTCATTACCATGTATCGTTACCTCTAATCAGCACCAAATGCCAATGTTTTAACAAATTGCAACAAGGACTGCCATTTCCCTCTCTGACTTCTTTTCAACACATCCGACCTGATCAGCAACTGCGTTCCTGCTGACTGTACCCTAATCTGTCAGCTGCTCTGAAGACACCAAGCTACTCAAACTCCTTTGCTGTGTGATAAAGATGGAGGGATCCATCCTCCTAATTGTCCCTTTACTTCATAAACAAGCAGTACTTTATGTTGGCTTGAAAAAAATCCTTGTATTTCATGGTTGTGAAGTCCCAGAGAACTGTCCCTTTAAGTTCAGACCACCATACTTATAGGAACTGAGGGCCCAGTAATTTTGCACTTGGCAAGCATGAAGCCATTCAGCTCCCCCTAAATCTGATTGATCAGAATCTCCTTTTTTAACAACTTAACTCAGCTTTTTAGTTTGTCAACTGATGCTTTTTAAATTGTCTTCAAATCTATTCAGAGTATCGCTCTGAAAGGACCAAGAGAGGATATATTCCATTGGTGCTATCACAGAAAGCTTAGGAATGCTGCTTTTGGTGGTTTAAAATCCTCAAGAGATCATTAGTTGTATAAATGATAAGTTGAAGTGAAGTTTCTACATTTACTTACACTTTTTTAATCTGTTGATTGCAAAAAAGATTTCCATCATGCCAGGGCTTTAGTGTACAGTATAAAAGCACACCTGTAAGGCTCTGGGTGTTGCTTTAAATTAATATTCTTTAAAACAAAAATGTTTTCAATTCTTTATCTGGTTGGTTCGGAAAACAATATATTGCAGTAATATTCACACGAGCAGAAGCCAAATAAAGCAGCAAATTACACAACGCCGAGTCTTGCATGTATAACCTTCAAAAGAATAGATATCTTTTATTCACACCGATCTCAAAGTGAGGTATTAAGCCATAAAATGAGTCAACTTGGGTAAATATAAAAAGGCGACTGGTGCTACAATCGCAGAAGTTGCAGGCTAAAAGTTTAATATTCAAGTAATAATGGAAGATACTTTACTTTTCATAAACTGAGATGTGGAATGAGGAAGGTATATCCTTTTAATAAGATGCAAAAAATGTAAACATTTGATATATTTCCCTTTTTCTACATAACAGCTTATATCATTTGACTTTTAATTAAGTAATTCTGATGGCTTAATTCAGTCCCAGAAAGAAGGTTCTGCACTAACTTTTTATATATAAACATAGAATTTACTTCTGTAAAACATTGCTCATTAAAAACAAGTATAGTTCGTGTCAATCCTAGTTATGCTCTGTGCATCAACAACAGCCAGGATCCTGACTCATTCAGGCTGAGGTTTACAGTCTGGCAGAAATGGCTACTGTTCTCAGAGGCTCTGTAGTCTGTGTGGTCGAATCCACAACACTCAGGGGAGAAATGTTCTTGTTTCTTGTCGGTTGAACTGAATATGTGTTAAAATCTATAAATGTTTTTTCATCAAGTGAGAAACACAAAAATGCAGAACAGAGAAGTTGTTAAAACAGAGAGCTTTTGTTTTCAATACTTAATAGCTGAGCTCATAAATTAAATGGCTTTATTGAGGAATAGAATTAAATCATTAATAATAAAACAATTATTACTGTTATTTTTTTTAAGTTATACTTTATTAGACCAATTAAAAAGATAACCTTACTTGATATAAATATTTATAGAACCAAATAAAATAACTGAGCGTTACCTGCTTGTTGGTTTGGATATTTACTGAGCGGAAGAGTCCTGGATGACTTCATGGCAAAGAACCCGTTGGTACAATATGTCCTTTTCAAATGGGACCATTTCTGAAGCCACGACACAGACACAAAAATCCAGTTTCAGGGCCTAAATAATGTCGATTCCCAAATCGTATTACTTCTCCAGATAAACAAGCTCTAAGCAACAACTCAAATGATGTTCACACAGAGAAAGAGCACTATAGTCGCTATAATTAACACAAATAACACGTGGCTGAGGAATGCTGATGCTAACAAACTAGTAGAAGGAAGTAGAGCCTGTCATGCGAGTATTACTTGCCATGTCATTCTGGATGGGCTCTCCAGACAAATCCTGATGTTAAGACATTGTCCCGAACAGCTGCTCTGATTATAAGTGGCCATTTGTAAAAAAAGAAAAGAAAAATCCTACTAAAAACAAAACTCAGTGTTGGATGAGATGCTCTCCTGTTGTCTCCCTCCGCTGAATCATCCAGAGGGGAAGTAAGATGCCTTGATGGAGAAGTGAAAACTGATGACTTGAAAGAAAATTATATTATGGGTTTCTCTCACTTATGTTATTACTGTACATTTCTCCTGGCTCCATTTAGCTAAACCCGACGGCTGCTGCTCATGATGCTTTATCGATATATTTCAAAAGGCAGGGGCACAAGCAAATCATAAGCCTCACCAGGCCTGTTTCTCTCAGAGTTTCAGGAAAGATAAGATACATTCAAAAAGGAAAACATTTTAATAAACATAACTGCACATATAAACCTCAATACACATGACATCCTTTAAAAAAACAAACAAAATCAAAACAGGTTTTTAGGATAGAACACAGCAGCCACAAACCAGGTGTGGATTTAAAAATGGCGAAACACATACAAGTAAAACATTCTATATTTTACATATATAAATAATATAGTGCAAAACTGTGAAGTGGTTGATAAAATGACTCCTTTTCAAAATAGTTAACATGAGTTTTACATAAAAATCATTAGGTATGGCAGATTTCTGTACTTTACTCTGTTACCTGTAAATAAAATCTGTTGCTGCCTTCAGAAGTAACCAAATCAGTCACCCAGTGTGTAATTTAATCTTAGTAGAAATGCAGCTGTCAAGGTCTCAGAGGTTTAACTCAGGAAGACCAAGGAAAACACCAAACAGGACAGGGGTATAGGAGTTTTGGGAGGTATAAAGCAGGGACATGCACAGCAGGATGATAATTCTCATCAAAGAAAGGAGAGTTATGGGAAAAATCCTATTAAAAAGACTAAATAACTGTTCACATACACCTAAGATCCTGAGTAACCCCATGTGTTAGAAGTGCTCAATCAGAGTCGAGAACTAAATACAACAAAGGATATGTGGTTAATAAAGGTTCCTGGTCAGATATAAGTTATTCAACAAAATGTAATCTTAAGGGAGCTGAATGGAAATAAACATAAAAAAACAGTAAAGATATAATACTCCCCACTGTATCTGTCTATTGCACAAGGTCATAATAAGATAAAGTCAATTTTGTGACTGAAATTCAACATTATGTAAAGAAAATTCAAGGGCTATGAATACCATGGCAACTCAGTTGTAGGGAAATACTTTTAACAGCACTTCATATCAATAAATATGGTCTGCTCCATCACATCATTGGATGAGAGGCTAAATCCCATTACATGATGAGCTACTCACACAGTCCAGACAAAACAGCCTCAGAGGGGTGTGGGGACCATCATCTATTACCTGGAAATATGGTCCTGTGGGACATTTAGGAAATTAACACGTTTAACAGAATGCATTAAATATTACGTCTCATTAGCAGGAGCAAAGGAAACCTGATGGTTGGAATGAGCTTAAAGGATAAAATTAGAAGCAAAGTCTCTCAGTGCATCTGTTGGTTAACTACTATCGCAAGCTTGCTCAGGGGTTAACTAAAAGTTTTGCTTATGGGATACATTTCTTTAAAATAATAACATTTAACGTATAACAGAATTAAATCAAACACATAAAAGAAGCAGTATAGAAGGCCACTAAAATGTTTAGTCATAGTTATTCAGTAAAGCAGTCAGAATATTTGCTGGTAAATGTACTCTACAGCCAGGTGTATGTTTACGGTTCCTTGGTTTTCATAACTTTTACACTTTTCCACATTTCCAGAGCTCCTGTTTAGTCTAAAGCATAAAAACAAAACTTTACTTGATTGCATAGAAAAGGATTTTACATTGGACTGAATGTAAATATGGAACCCTGCAAAAAACTGAAATAAAAGACTAAAGGAGATGGAAAAAGAAAAACATACAAAAGTAAAACTAAAATGAACGTTGGAAGGAAAGGATGATCGAAGTTTGGAAAATAGATTTAACAAATAAAAATTTAAGAAAAGAGAGAGTAATTTAAAAGAAAACCCAGAAAGGGCAGACGTTCAGCAGATGGAAGAATTAAGAGAATTTCTTTCCTCATATGTATCAATATTTTTTTGTTGTGTTTTGGCCTTTGTATTCAATCTGTTATCCATTTCAAAATGATGTGTTTTATGTGGTTTAGATTTCAAGCTTAAGTTCTTTTAGATATAATCTGACTTTGTTTTTTGTTTTTTTATCTCCTTCTGTGCACTCTGTTAGATTCAACTTTGTTATTCCTTTACAACCCTGTTTCTAAGTCACTTTGTTTCATTTTTATTTCTTTACTCATTTCTGAACGGGATTATGTAATAGGATTGGTCTGACTGATTTCTGTTTTGTGAGTCACGTCTAGCAATTCGTCGTATCAGTTTTTCTAACCACTTTGTGTCTTAGGTCAGTCCCAGCTGCTATCAGAAAAATCTACATTAAAATCATAAATAGCAATGGAATCAGCAAAACATTATCATTACATTTGAACAATCTGAAGCTTTAAATCTGGTCATGAGCAACAATGCTGAGATCAACAGGACAGCTTTGTAAGAGTCGAACCATCACTTAAATGTCTATGGCATTTTTGTCTTCTCTATTTTGTCTGAGGCCAACAGATTTGCGTCCCTCGAGTACAAAGGCTGCTACGACCGCCAAGCGTTGCCCCAGTGGCCTCTGCTTTACGTCAACCTCACCGTGAATAAAATAGGTGGTCGTTCTGGCTGAGATGGCTTCAAACTGCTCAGTCAGAAGCCACGCCTCCCACAGGAGAGTAAGTGCATTCATAATCATCAACACTACAACCCAGAACTCCTCTCCTAACAAAGTGAGCCACATTGAGAAGCTAAGACTGGCCTCTGGCATGATGCCGTACAGGTAACTTAGCCCTGAGGCGATGAAAAGAAGATGGGCGGTCACCAACGAGAGGATGAAGACGAGGAAGAGTCTGTGGTTCTCCCGGCCAATGCAGCGGTTGAGGAAAAGGCAGTGATGGTCGTAGTCTAAGATGCATGCTTCACACAGTTTACAGTGCTTTGTATAGTCCGGCTGGAAAAGCTAGGAGGAATGCAGGGACAGGGTGAGAAACAGAGCAACAGAGAAGAAATCCACTCAAACATCATCTCTGGGTTAATATAGAGTACTTTACCTCACAGTACGGACAGAACCTGTGAGGGCTCTGGTTGTTTTCCACCAGGTCAGCAATACAGGAAAACCGAGGATCTGCATCTGCTTGATCTAAAACCCCGGGATCCTGAGTCAGAACCATGTAGAAGAGACTAACCAGTATGAAGAAGTGGACACAGGACACCTGAGCGATAGTGCTAGTGGGCCACACACATTCAAAAAGTCAAGGATGTAACCGTCTGTTCTAATTCGCTACACTGACTTGTAAATTACCTGAGTAAGTTGCTATTGGAATGTGTCCTGGTGTTTTCATGATGCTATGCAATCCTAGCCTTGTGAGACCATCCTGATCTCGCGAGCTTTTAAGATTTCACTCGCTATTCAGTCTGGAGATTCTCCGTTGAAGAAAATTTAGAGCCGTTCACCAAACGAACGTCCAATCAGCGTTGGCTTTGAGGCGGGTTGAGGTGTGATGCAACGAGAAGCGAGACAGTTCAGTCTAAAGAACATGGCGGCTTCAGCCGATGAAACTAGCGTTAGCGTGGCTATCGAGCAAGTTTTATCGGAATTACAGAGTATTTCTTCACTGAAAGAAGAGCAAAACACTGCTCTGGAGGCTTTTCTCAGAGGAAAAGATGTTTTTGCTCTTCTCCCGACGGTTTCGGCAAGAGTTTGATCTATCAATTGGCTCCTCTTCGTCGTCGCTCTGTTACGTCATATGCTTCGTTGATCTGATTGGTTTATTTGGCCCGTCTATCACCAACATAGGCCAATCAGCTAACCAGTATTTTCGCCCCTTCCCAAAATTACTTCAACGGAAGGTTTCCAGATGGATATGCGGAGCAAATCCATCTGGCGGAGTCAGGTTAATGCAATCTTGCATGGCTTACAGGAGAGAAACAGACCCGCATCACCAAAGAGCCTCGACCATGCTTAACAATAGTAAAACGTGATTATCCATAAGCTCATTTTGTGTCTCATACCAAACCCACCAGGAACACCTGTTGTTGACGTTTTCTCTTAGTACAATCAAAGCACATGCTTCCTGGTCCCAGTAGTAAATAGCAAACACAGTTTAGTTTCATGATTGAAGGGATGAAAATTTATTTGTTCTAAAACATTTATTATGAATATCTTGGCAAGCCTGGATGGAACCCTTTTATAGCATTTCTTTAAGAGTGAGCTTTACCGCTTTTTTTAACTTGCTCTCCCCATCACTATATATGGATGTGTAAAAAAGTCGAGCCCTAAACTAGCCTTTTTAATCACATTTCCAGTTGCAGGTGAGCTTACTAAGTGGGTAGCTGTTTTCTTACTTAAGAAGATCCCACATGTCTTGCTCGTTGGATATGTTTTCTGTCGCACTTCAATAAAGTAAAATCTGACTTGTAAAAATGCATTTTTACTCACTTTAGTTGGTTGAACTCTAAGGTTTATAAAGAACAATTGCATACAGAACATTAAACTGCAAAACCTTTAAGGAACAATTCCTGCAGATTGAAGGGAAATGTTTTTTTTTCTTTTTAAGGTACTTCTTTTAAGGATATTAGGCATAATTCTTCCACAGAAGCACACCAGGGAATGGATCACACCAGCCAGTAGCGTCCCCAGGTATATTGGATTAGCTAACCTAGGGGAAAAAAAGATGAGATATGTGACCTGGGAGCTGACACAAACAACAGTTTGGTTACCTACCACCGGATATTTGACATGTGAATACCTCTGGAACGAGGTCATGCGGTGATACTGAGTGAAAATGCTTCTGGCCAGCCATGGGAAGAGGAGAGCACAGACAAGGCCCCCATAGCCTCCAAACATGGCTGCTATCAGCAGGATGGCAGCTCCACTAACAGATGGAAAAAGCAGCGTCCAGTAGTATAGCGCTGGAAATTAACACAAAGAATAAAATTACTACTGACAAACAATCCTTGTTGCTTTATGTTTAAATAAAAAAAATGACCAACTAATGTGACATGTACCATCAGATTCTCTGGGCTTGTGATGTATTGGCTCGTTTATGTATCGCTTTAGCAGTTTGGCAAGTTGCTGATGTCTAAAAAAAAAATGTAAATAAAGGCTGTCTATCACCATCATGAAAGATCTTTAATTACATCAGGAAATCTCAGTTTGTGAAAACGACAATTCTACCTGAAGGTTCTTCCCTGTTTGCAGAGATCCAGTGGGGTGAGGCCGCTGTAGTTCCTCAGATGAAGCATAAAGCAGCCGGTCTTCTGCAGCAGAGTCCAGCATACCTCTACTGCGCCCCTCTCTGCTGCAACATGGAGCGCTGTTGCTCCCTGCTGGTCAACTGCATTCACAACCCACCGCTACACAAGAAAAGAAAATGCTGTCTCTGCAACTGCTTTACAGTTTCAAGCTTCTTTTAATCATGGTTTACTTATGAGCACCACAAACTACAAAAACTTACATGTTAGAGTAAAATATAGATTAATTAAGTTTGTTTAACAATAATAAAGCTAACAGCTAAGAGTGTAGAAGGTTGAAACATGGCCCCTTTAGTGTATTTCATACCTGGTCTTTGAGCAAATAGCGAATCATGTCTAGATTGCCGGTGGATGCAGCGAGGTGAAGAGGGGTCACCTTGTACATGTCAGTGTCAGAGAATCGGAACATTCCTGTCTCCCACAGATAGTGCACGGCGATTCTTAGAGAGATGAGCAACAGTTAGAGGATATGTTAAAAAAAAGACACAAAAAAACCAAAAAACTAATTTTTCCTTGCTTACATGCTGCCCCCAGTAACTGCATGATGCATGGATGTTTTCCCCTGCAGGTCCACAAGCCGCAAATCTGCACCGTATTGCACCATTTTATGCATGTTGTAGATGTTTCCCTGCCTGTCGATGAAACACATGCAAAAGCAAAAACAAAAAAAAATACTTTGAATGCTTTTGTGTGTTGTCATGTTATTAGCACAAATCTGAAAGTTTTGTATTGGAGTTTTATGCAGGGGAAAAACACACCCTAACACAGAATTTTAAGATGAAAAAAAAAAAAAAAAGAATAACAGACGAAAGTTTTTACAAATAGCTTCAGTCTGCTTTTTACCGTATTACAACCATGGTCAATACTTAACAGAGATCAGTTTTGCAGCATCCACAGTTTTTTTGCACATCATTTTAAAGTGGCTCAAACTCAATCAGGTTTTGTTATATAAGATTTTCAGTCAGAGTTTTAGCTGTTCTCAGAGGTTAAAGTTGGAAACAGAATTGAATTAATAGTTTTCTAGTTTCTGGAGGGTTACCTAGTGACCTTCCAGGTTTGGATTCGGACTTTGGGAGACATTTTTGTGTGTCCTCTAATAATCTCAGTTCTGGGTATCAAGAAAATGCATAATCAGGACTGATGGCTGTTGCTGGGTGTTCAGTCTTGTTGTCGCACTAGACCTTAAAAGAATACCATGTCTTTATTTCAAAACATCAATTTTTTCATCTCAAAAACACCAACTCGATTTACACCCCAACACGATGCAGCCACCACCGTGTTTACCTGGTCTACATGGCCGGTGGTAAACTGTCTTTGTTTTATCAGCAGTTATTTCTTTGACAATCCTATTTTAAAATCTATCGTTTCATTATGCTGCCTAATAGCTCTCCATAGCTCCATCCCTGATATCTTTAGGCTTTTATTGGTCTTTAATATGTTACTTGTTTTAAAGATGTTAAGAAAGTAGCTTTGTTCTCCCACTTTGTATAGTATAATAAGTGTTACCTTCCTTATATGCAGCTGCAGGACTGATTTATGCATGTACTCAGCTCTGTTTACAACTGCAGGCTGTGGGATGGGATGTTTGGGTTTATTCCCGTTTAAAATATTTACCAAAGTGGCTTTCTTGTACAATAAAGGCTGTTGCCTGCACTGTGAAACAGGTCATACAGTAAATCACAGGTTTATACTGCATGCCCGCCTTGTCTTACAAGTGCTGATAGAGTGATCGTTTTCAAATCAAATCTCCAAGATTCTCCTAGATCTGAAGTGCTGTGCAAGTTTTTATGTTGTTGATGGCTTTATCCAGGATTGCAGCGATTTTTTTGTCACATTTGTAGGCATTTTGTAAAGCCAAAAAGGTAAAAACATTTCAGTTACCACTTCATCAAACTTAACACCCTGTGCGTTAAATATGTGTTTCCTGACATGTTGCATAAAAGTAAGACAAGCTCAATCCAAGTTCCATTTTACTTTCTTGTAAGAAGCACTTTGAGTAGTGCCATTTTATGATAAACAGCAAAATACACGTAAGTTTGTGGTTTGCAATCTGACAAAATGTGAAAAAGATTAATGGGTTATGTATGTAGCTTCAACATACCTGCAGGCAAAATGAAAAGCAGTCTGCCCTGCATCACATGTAACATTGGGGTCTGCACCAGCACTGAGGAAGAAGTCCACTAGGGAGCGGTTTCCATGGAGGGCAGCATAATGGAGAGGGCTGAATCCACCCCAGCCTAAATAAACCCATGCACATGAAAGACATTCTTCTTCAGGTACAGAAAAATATATGGTTACAAGGCTTTTCATGGGTTTAAGCCTGCTTCAACTCAGTTGGAGTTTGTGCTGACCAGCTATCTATCACAAGAGCTGCATCACACAGTAGGCTGCAGCAGAGGAGAGCTCTTCCTGGCAATGACACAAAACCACACATGGACCCTCTGGTGCATCATCCTCCATGCAGAGAAGCTGTGCAATGACAGCTGTGTTCCCCTCAGAAGGCTGCATAATGGAGATTATTCACACGTGCCACAAACACAATGCAAAACACAATATAGACAAACCAGAGAAATATAAGGAAGAGGCTAAAGGTTGATGACAGGAAAACAGAAGGTCGTAGTAGCAGCCACTTTGGAAGCATTTGGAGGATTTCAAATCTTTAGTTTACATTGCATGGTGTCTTACCCTTATGCTTGAGGATTAATCGATCATTTTGCACGAAAAGTATACACTGTTCAACATCTCCTCTTTGTATACAGTCAAATATGTCTCCACCACTGTCGTCGCACAGCGGCATCGCATGCGTTGCACCAAATCTGTCCTCTTGGATTTCCATCGAGAGGAACTGCAGCAGAAATCAGCACCCCGGGAAAAGCAGCATTACATCATGATGCGAAGTAGGACGAGAGATCATTTTTCCCAGCAAACTGCAAAAGCTTTCATTGTGTTTAGCGTTAACCGCTCCCTCGGCCTCCTATTGGTTGAATCAGGTCACGTGATTTACAGATACATGCAGGGAAAGGTCACCAGAGGTCGCTATAGCAGCACAGGATCACATGTAGAGAAATTCCTTTATTATGGTGAAATGTATGGTTGATGTGGAGGACCAACTCTGCTATATTTAAAAATAAATACAGAAATAAATAAATGCTCAATAAATAAATAAGCATACAATTAATTGCCCCCCAAAAAAGTAGGAATTAAATTATACCGTGAGACATAAATGCATATATCTCTTTTAATTAGCTTCTTTATTTATTCACCTTTGTAATAATTACCTTATTTATAAATTGTCCGTTATAATCTTCAACCTTATTTATTTATTACTTAAGTTTTTAAGTATTTCCTTATGCGCATATGATAATATTTTTGTCTGTTTTATTCTTCCTTTGTATTTTTTTTTACCCTATTTATTTCTTCAACGCTATTTATTCCTGCCTGTCGTATTTATATTTCTGTATGCCTTTCTGCCTCATTATGTAAACGAGGAAGGGGGGTGTCTTAGAGGGTAAAAATAATATAGACATAAATATGGCAGAGTTGGTCCTCCATAGATTTAAACAATCTGATAACTAAAAATACAG